ATTATTTTACTATGATTCATGAAATGTAGTTACAGTTGTTTTATGATGTTATCATGCTATTGTTCCATTCTGTATTTTTATAGAATCGAATGAGAAACGTTTGAATAAACAAATTCATATCAAACTCAAGCCGTGGTATAGTTGCGTTATTGCTAACCTGTGGGTAGTCGTTCTGACCTTTCGCTACAACCTCCATGGTCAAACAAAGCGCTACCATTTTATTTGTATTTCTGATTGTTACTTGATCACGTGACCACACAGGTGGACGAAAGAACTGGCATGTCATCGTTTAAGTTTGGTTTCTGAATGTTATTTTCTATGCTAGCCTTCAGGGACGAAGCCCCCGAAAATCTTTCACAGTTTATGGGTTTCAAAGGCTTATTTAATCGATTTTAGAATCTACTTATAGGCCTATGTACAAAATACATATACTTTTTTTCCTCCCCAACAAATTATGTTTTTTCTTCCCGACAGGGAAGGGTGGGGGAAGCTATCCCCGAAGGGGGAGGGCCTGGCGCTACCTCTGCTTCTTACTATTGAAATTGCATTACAATGTTCGGAACTATGTATACAACTTTACTATTATCCCAATGTGTAAGGCTGTTGTATTTATCGCATACAGATTAGTATTCTTATTCTCTAAATTTATCTTATAGTAGAGTTTTGTAAGTTGCTGAATTTTTAACACTGTTTAAACTCACAACGCTTTTGCATCAGCAAATAAGTTAATAACAACAGTGATCAAAGTTGGCAATGTTGTCTGCTTCATCACGCTCAATACTAAGTAGTGCCAAAGCAGATAGTATCACGTTTCCCATCGTGGCTCTGAAATATGGCCGGATGAGCTTTAGTCATGCAGTCATTACAGAATAGGATAAAAAAATACAACAAGAGAAAACGGTCGAAATGGACTGAAAAGAAATCACAATCTATAAATTAGCCAATGAAAACACAACTACATTCAGATTCTTATTATTAACTGGACAATATTCATGCCTAACGACTTACATCAATTTCGTCGTGTTTTTCTAAAAAGTGCTTATTTTTTTACACTCATTCTCCATTTTAAGCGCCCCCCACTGAAAAGACCTTGGTTCAAACCTGGCCCAGCGTCGGGTTTTAATTGGAGTCAGATCGCTCGTCTTCTCGAATAACCCGCTCATGAGAGTTAGGTGGGGTAAGTGACAATGTATCTGTTACATATCGGTACAGGCCACTACACTGCGGTTACCGCTTGTTCCCGGCAGTCCATCCAATTTCAAATATTTCGAATTGGACAAAAACGAAAAGCAGCCAAGAATTACTTATTGAATACATGACAAGGGGAATGTTTCGGGGATGCTAACCCTCAGTTTTTGTAAAATATTATGAAGAAATTGCTGACAATGCTGATAATACAGGGTTTAAGTTTTATTATGAAGTAAATTATAACTAAAAGTAGAGAAATAAAAATGTATGTATCAGTTATAGCTCCTTAGGATGAATGGTAACCCCTCATTTTTATTACATATTCTGAAAGCACATGAGTTGTAGATATGATTTTTTTTATCATAATGGCTGATCGGACATTGTGACGTCATCATATTGCCATCTGAATTCAACAAAACTTATTTTATCGATGACGTCATTTTTGAAAATACGCATTTGAGCGTATCTCGGTTATCCTTGATCGATCGTCTTCCCACTTTGAACATGTTATAGCTAAGACAATTCTCTTTTATATATATGACTTCTTTTTACATTTTGATGACGTCATCATGTTCAGAAAAAATGTTATTTCTGACCCCCTCATTTCTCTTTCTTCAAAACGTTAATGAGCCCATATAATCTTAACCATTCGTCATTTCTAAATCATATTAGGTGAGCATAGACTTAAGGTCAAGGTTGAATGTTATGTACCTTAATTTTCCGTTCGCGCTTTTTAGAAAAGAAGAAGAAATTCCACAAACGATTTCCAACAGTCTTTCACGTTTTTTTTTCTTTTTAAGTATAAAAACGTTTGTAGTGTGGCAATTGAGTTGAATTGACATTGTTGCACTTACTAATAGGCCTATTTTCTGTATTTGCCTCATTGTAACTCCCATTTGATTTTAAATGGCACAGTTTGTTAAATGAAATATAATTGAACATGTTAGCTTTGATTAAAGCATGGAGTTTCTTTCCTCCATGATTAAAGAGAATGGAAAGGGAAAGCCTAACCCACAAACATACACTAGATTAGCGCACGCCATTGAGCTACGACAGTCATACATCAATGATTTTCAACCTAGGCAAGGATTTGACCAATCACAAAATGCCCTGATTTTAAAGCAAGATTACGAAATACATTTTTGATGTATGAAAAATTGTAGATTCTTTGGACGTACAACAAGAATAATTACGCACTCTTCGCTAGTATTCAATATTCTAACTTACGAGGTACTTTAGAACTAGATATTTTATTTTGTTTCTTGTGCACGATGGTCATTAATTATACAAAAACATGCAATCCAGTTTACTATACAGTGATTGCAGTCTATTATTTATTTTCAAAATTGTGTTTGTTTCAACTGCTTACCTTTGTCTTGTTGATGTACTTTCTACACATAATAATACCAATTTAATTTAGTAGTAATCATGCAGACTAAGAGTTATTAGGCATTTTCATTTTTTTTTTAGAAAAAAAAAACAGTTTGAAGTAACAACGGTTGAGACATAAGTTACCCCAACTTAAATTCCTGTATAATTTTTCACATTCAAACTTTTTCTCTCAATATATTGCTGCAGTTGGGTATTCAAATATTTTGTTAACAGACTTGGATGTAACGTTGACATGTGACAGATTTACATTCTACTTTACAATATAACTATAATAGTTCAACTCCAAAAAGTAATTGAAACTCATCAATTGATTCTTGATTAGCACTTACCAAAATAAATATAACATCATTTGACACAGTGACAATATCGATAAAAATAACTATACTCCATATTTTTGTTCACGATGCTATATTTTTAAAAGTCATATAATACATTGTTGATGGTAAAGAAACGAAACTCATTAGTTATAGATTTTTTTTATCATTTCCTCAAAAAACATTAACATTAACAAATACATGAAAAGAAAGGAACACCAGCACCAATTGAAACTTAACACAACAAAGCAAAACGGACATTTACAGAACCCTTTCTTTTTTTGACCAACATTAATTTTTTTTCCCGATTACCTACCTAACAAACATAGAAAACAGCCACCCAACACCTTAAATTCCATAAAACCGATGGATTTTTTTTTTAAAAGTGAGATTTACATTTTTCTAACTGAATAAACATTTTTTCTTTATTATTATTATTATTATATTATTATTATTTAATCCTTAATCCGAATAGTTATACATTTTTTCCCAAATTTATACACTGAATTTCTCTTTAAAAAGTTCCAGTAAAAGCATTACATATGGAACACTTTTCAACTTAAATAACTTAAGTAAAATACAATTCGTCATTAAACAGTTCATTTGGTAGATTATTCAGATTAATTATTTCCATGGACAATACTTTTGGATATTGAACTAAACAAATATTAATCTTCCACAGCTGCAATATCCATAAAAGAGCTCTAATCCACCTTTTGTTCACGACGCCATATTTTCAAATTGCATACATATTACAAAGTTAATATGAAAGACCCGAAAATCAATCTGTGGTGGATCCTTGATCTTTATTATTTCCTTGGACAATACAATATAATTGGATATATTCCAACACAAATATAACTCTTCCACAGCTGCAATATATTTAAAAGAACTCTAATCCATCTTTTTTTTGTCTGCGGTGCCATATTATTTAAATGTCATATAATGCAAATGTGATGGAAAAGCACAAACAAGTTTTGCATTAACCCCTCGATGTTAAGCTGAGTTGAATTGCTTGGTGGTTAAAATCATTGAACAGAATACCCAGTATAAAGAAGAAATAATTTAAAAAACAAATTATATTCTTAAAGCTTGCTCCTTCTAATAATATTTCTTTTTATTGTCGGTTAGAGTACTAATACCTATTTCTAGTACCGTTTAAATGTGACAAACTACCAAAATGGGTTTATAGTTACTTATGTCTTTATGGCATTTTTCTTAATAAATACGGATATCTTGCTATTTTCTAGTCGTTTGTAATAATTCCGTTCATTAATGACATATATATCTTCCATTAGAAATCAGAATATCATGTTGATGCCATTCTTAACAGTTTAATATCAACGTCAAGGACATCCACATTGCTACTGTAAGACACATTCAAAAGTCCTTTTCTAACATCTTCCGTCTCTAATTTATTAAAGGGAAAATTGGTATCATTAAATTTTTGTTTCATCGAATAAATGTGATATTCTTTTTTGAAAATATTTATGAAAAGCCTTACATTCAATATTCAGATTTGTAATATTTGTGTTATTGTTCTTACCAGAACCTTTTTTCATTCAATTCCATATTTTTGTGTGGTCTGTTCTATGATTATGATAATATTAGCAAAATAATAAATCTTTTATTTTTTTAAGTCCTGTCAAAAATACTAGAAACACAAAATACTAAGAGTTCTTCACAGAAAAAAAAACTGTTCGACCGAAATGCATAGTGGGAATATACGAACAATGCAGCGCCGTGTACGGCTAGATGTAAAAAACTTCTGCCACCGTTACATAAATGTAAATATATAACCTCCTTTTGAGGAGGTTGAAATGGTTGCTATTATACATAATATACAAACAAGTAGGCATAAATAAATCAAAACAATAAACTGACAGACACAAAAGCGCAGAATCGTATGACCGGACTCTGTTTAGTGATAAAGTTTTCCTCCTTCAGTGGAAAAAGAAGGGCGCCGTGTGCGTCTGGATATACCTAGCAACAGAAGGGCGCCTTATACGTCTGGACCAAGCAAGGACTTTCAACTGTTACCAAAGAGTATAAAACTGAAGAGGTCCGACTGCCGGGGATTCTTTGGAACGCAATCCTATTTCAAAAATACTACCCAAAAGGGGCGTGGCCTTTAAAAGAACGTAAAGTGCGTTCACATCGAACGCGTGCTGCGCGTCTATAGAATGTTAACTGGAATTCGAAACGCAGGACGCGTTCGATACGAACGCCTTTTACGTTCTTATGAAGGACACGCCCCTTCGTGGGAGTACTTTTTAACGTTCCATTGCCTGTATACAAAATAAGGGCAGTCGGACCTCTTGCAATTTTATACTCTTTGCTGTTACCAGGAGAGGAAGCCGGCTGGTTTAAGCCGTCTAACTTGATTTAGCCTTATGTGTGGTATTGTTACGTTAATGAGTCAGAGATAAGCACAAACTGCACATGCTCATGAAAACAAAGTATCGGCTAGGCGTACAGCAGCTAGGCCTAGCTTATCTTATTTTTGTTTGTTACGCCCACGCATCACTGACTTAGGTTGTTTGTCATCACTTCAAAATGTCTACCGATTCGTGGAAAAGGCGTATTAAAATAAAAAATATTGGCGTTCGTGAGCAATACATTATAATTTTATATAGGTAAGTAGTAAGTATATGAATAGTTTTAATGCACTAGTTACTTCATAACTTCGTTCTAATTTGTTTTGGGTCTTTTTCTGCATTTTTATAAGCGGTTAGACATGGCCTAGGCCGGCCCTAGGCTAGCCTCTGGGATGTTCATTTTAATACTACAAAACAAACTCACATCAATTTAAAATCAAATTTGTAAACATACTTGCTTTATATCTTAACTAGCAGTTGATTTTATTGGTAGATTAGTTAAGTAAGTAAGTATGACTTATCTGGCTCGTTATCATAACAATACCATACATAATGCTAATTCAAGTTAGACGGCTTAAACCAGCAAGCTTCCTATCCTGGTAAAAGTTAAAAGTCCTTGGACCCAGTATAGAAACTTGCATTATAAAAAGACAAGGGTGCCGCGTACGTCTGGACCAATTTCCGCCTCATTTTTGCTATGCGAGTGCTCTATTTTGTATTTCTAGTATATTTGGTCCTGTGCAGACTATTAATTATTATTTGTCAAAATCGCGTGACAAGCGTAAATCAATGCAGAAAAGCGCACCATCAAAGCTTTCCATCCACACATCAAAAGATTGTCATTAAATTTCATTTTCATCGGAACTGCCTTGGGAATTTCGTTAATAATAGTTGTTATGTACTCAAGGCGGTACGCTGAATAGGAAGATGTTACTCGTTTTAGGTTTGCCTCCCTAATGACATTTTTATTATCTTCTGTAACTTGTTCTTTAGATTTATCTCTAGATATGTCGTGACACGTACGATTGTGATATCATTATATACCTGGCGATGTTTCTATGAAGTGTGTGGTACCAGAGTCCGCAAATACAGCATCAGACCGTGTTACCTTTTATAAGAACACTGCCCTCATTGTCCATGAGATTGTATGGCAAACCCATAGAGCTATTAAACAACTAGAGTGCTGACAAGATGGTGAAGCAATGTAGAGTTATGTATGTGTACCATCCAAGATGGCCGCCGTAGGAAAGCGCCACCTTCAGGCTTAGTATACATATTATTACCATAAATAAGCCCTCTGACTGACTATTATTTCATTTATGATAATTAGTATTGATAATAACAAATTATTGAACTTTCGTAGCCAAAAATAGGCCAAGTAGAGCATCTTATTCAAAAATTTAAAAATAAATAAAATCGTATACATTACACCTATACACCGCAAAGCTCGAGTTTCAAACATACGGGTAACTAGCTGTACTGAACTTTCTGTGTAAGTTGAGGGCGCCATTGAAAATAATAGTGCTTAGGCGAAATTTGATTGGCTGAATCTATGGCAGGCATCTTGGATGGTACACCCACATAGCTCTGCGTATTTCGAACATCGAATACATTGCAGTTAGCGCTCTAGTATTCTTATTATATCTCTATGGGCAAACCAAAGAGTAAAAAACTGCAAGAGGTCTGACTGCCCTTATTTTGTATACAGGCAATGGAACGTTAAAAAGTACTCCCACGAAGGGGCGTGTCCTTCATAAGAACGTAAAAAGCGTTCGTATCGAACGCGTGCTGCGTTTCGAATTCCAGCATACATTCTATAGACGCGCAGGACGCGTTCGATATGAACGCACATTACGTACTTTTATCAAAACATTGCGGTCGTTATGTTTTTTGGCTTTTTTTTTTCTTACATTTTTTTTTTAAATGGAAAACTAAATAAAATATTTTTCATTTGTAGAATTATGAAAATTTTGCGAATTCAGCTACTTTTAGTATTTTGTTAACATTTTCTTGCTGCAACGTGTGCCGCCAATTGGGCTATTTTTAGTGTTATCTTGTACCCACAATGCATTTCGAACGGATGTTTCACTATTTGGGAAGCTGCTCTATCTTCTGCTATTTATTATCTTTGGTTTAACACACTGGATAGAGGGCGCCCGTTTCCTCGAGGCCAGCACAGTTAGGCTATGCTAATAGATAAGCCATGCAAAAGGACATATCAATTAGCGTCAGCATAACATTATCTGGAAATAATTTTAAATTTCTCGAATTTTACATGCAGTATTTCCTTGGTATTCTACGTTTTAAAGTGGACACTGTATTGAACGACGTTGCATTGATCCGTTGATGAACATTAATCCTATTGTAAATGGTTATTTTCTTTTTTTGTAATCTTTATTTAATAAAGAAGAATGTCGCCAGTGGCGTATCTAGGAAAATTAAAATGGGGGAGGGTTAATGGTAGTGGGTGGGAAACTCGTGAAGTGTGTGTGTGTGTGGGGGGGGGGGGGGTGGCACGATGATTAATTGAGAAGTGCTAGCTGGCAGGTGATGTCAAGTGATTTTTAACTACTTCAGCGTAATTTTTCTGCTTCGAATATGCAATAGGGAAAAATACGACTGGGAGCATGCAATGTTCTTTTGGACGCGAGCGTCCCTTTCCCCACTTTCTGCGCACCCTCAGTGAATGTTGCAAGCGAACTGTTGGAATAAATTATGCAGATATGTCTATATAATAGTCTTTTTCTTTTGCCACTTCGAAATTATGGAACTCTCTTCCACCTAATCGTAGATTAACTTCTGATATTAATGCATTCAATACCCTCCTTAAAACCCATCTCTTTAATCAATAATTCTTTTATCTTTAAGCGCCAGTGACAAATATTTTTTTCTAACAGGCGCTATAAAAATTCTCCAATTTATTTTTATTATTAATAGTATAAAAGACAAAATGACATTTCTTTTTAAATGCACGTTTTATTTTGAAACCACAAAAAATGTTATTCAATTATATTTCTATAACTATCAAACACGTGATATATTACTTGATGAATTCAAACAATGTTAGCATTTTCAGATTTTTTCCCATTATTTTTTACCATGCATATATAATCACACCAATTGTATTACTTATCTTCGAAACCTAACCCGCGGTGCTGATTGGTTCATTATTTATTATGGTATGGTAAACCAGTATTCTACTAGGCGTCAGTTGCTTAGCTAGAGGTTGGGGCCCGGCGGCAAGAGTAGAAAATTGTAATTATAATATTGTGAAATAAATTGATATTAGTTGTATAGGTTTTAAGCATATACGTACCGTAGGCCCCACCCCGGTCGCGCCACCCCTGTTTCTTTTACCACTGAAGCTGTTCGGAACTATGTATACAACTTTACCATACACTTATTTGTAAGGCTGTTGTATTTATAGCATTATAATATTCTTATTTTCTTGTAAGTTGCTGAATTTGTAACATTGTATAACTCGCAACTGAATTTTGCGTGCTTTTGCATCTGCAAATACGTTAATAACATGATCAAAGTTAGCAATGTTGTCTGCTTCATCGCGCTCAAGACTAAGGAGTGCCAAAGCAGATAGTTTCACTTGTCCCGTCTTGGCTCTGAGATATGGCAGGATGAGCTTTAGACATGTAGTCATTACAGAATAGGATTTTTTTTAAAAAGAGAAAACGGTTGAAATGGACTTAAAAGAAGTCACAATCTATAAATTGGCCAATAAACACAACTACTGTACATTCAGATTTTCATTATTAACTGGAATATATTCATGCCTGACGACACATCAATTTCGTCATGCTTTTCTAAAAAGTGGTTATTTTTTTTTTTTACTCTCATTCTCCCATTTTAGCGCCCCCAAATCTGGCTTCCGGGGCACGTGCCCCCTCGACCCCACCTCCTAGCTACGCCACTGCTAGGCGTAATTCTACAATCACTAGGTAAATTCGTTATGTATACGAATTGAATTTATCAGAGTTAATTATTTAGAATAAAAGTTAATGTTGAAGAAGCTCTACTACGTTAAGAAAATGAGCAAGTGTGGATCATGGAGAGCATCAATATCCGCAAACAAAGTTATGCATCTTATGAAAAAAACTTTAATTCTTCTGACAAGTTTAAAATAAGTCTTAAAATAGTCCTTTAGCCATAATATTCTTGTTCAAAACCTCATAAAGGCTATGCTATGGGGGTAGTCTTATGCCAATATGTTAATAGCCTTTGGTAGGCATGTTGTTAACGGGAACATACAACGCATGTTATTTCATTCCCATTAGCGTAGGGTGGGCAAGGGAGCGAGCCGCATACGCCTTCGGTAGCATAAAACAAATGGCCATTGTTGTTTACCGAGGAACCATGTCGTGCCTGAGGATTTCTATCTATGCAAAGATAATCATGACCACCATGGCCATGTACACTTCCCATCAACAAACCGCCATACTCTTTGGTCCAGCCTGAAGGGCACGTGCGTTTGGCAGGAATCATCGAAGTGGTTGATCTGCCACGCGCAAGGCACAAGGCACACACGATGTCTCCATCGTGTACGTCACTGAAAGGAGCGTAAGTGTTGGTTTCATATTCAGCACCGTATAACAGAGACCGACTTCCCCCATCT